TGGGCTACTGTAGAAAAACATGGCGAACTCCATGGAAGAGGACCTGCTCTGTATGTAGATAAACAGCTCAATCTAAGGTAACAAAACACAACTATTCTTTGTATGTAGATATAGTTATGAATATGATTAACCATTTATGCCAATATATGCTCCTAAATCCTGCACACTGGACCTTTAAACCTTGTCTATGACGGTGCTGGTGATGCCAGCAGAGCATGCAGCGGTGGCTCTTTCTCCTTGCCACTGCTCTCCAACCTTATTACCATATAGACAAAGGATAGTGCTGAGCTGATTCAATCTAAATTCTTGGGTCAGAAGACCTATGATAAAGCGCGCTCTCAGGAAATTCCAGCAAGGACATGATTGCTCAAATTTGAGGGGATGTTTCAACACCCTGACAGCGACATCTGTCTGCAGGACTGATGAAATAAATTGCGTCATGCCTCTGTGTAAGACATTATACGTACAGTACGTGACAGTGAAATAAAACCACTATACTGCAATCCAATACAGCTAGATTTCTGAATCTTTTGGAGAGAAGTGTCTGGGACCGAAACAATGTGCTAACACAATCAGGCTTCAGTTAAATATGGACTCATCTGCAGTTTGGTTCAGGTGAGAACATTGTGGTCATATCCTTGGGTACTGTGGAGTTTCATCAACCTGAAAAAGACTTTCTACTCCACGGGGTGTCTCTTTAAGGCACAATCTGGTATACATTTAACTTTTTAGTCAATAAATAACTACATAACAAAGCCAGTGTGGAGACGGCTTTGAGACAGAGCATGATGTAAGCAGATAAAATGAACACAACAGTGAAGAAGTTGAATGAAGTAAACGAATAAATCTTTTCCCTTTGAATAATTACATTAATATTGACTACAGTCCTGGTAAAAGTATTCTTTCCCTGACATGTTTATATAGCCTAATAGTTGTGTAAACATCTCCCCAGAAGAAGAAATGCAAATACTAATAAACATGTCAAACCTCAAAGTTCCAGTACAGCATGTTCCAACAAAAATCATAAACTAGGTGTGACAATAGGCTCCTAAAATTCACTCTACATGCCAATGAACATTAGGTGAATATGGAAAAGTGGTGTTTTTGTGTCCTATTCTATAACAGATTGTTAGTATCAGGGTTGCAGCACAAGTAAGCAATAACACAAAACAGATTTTACCATATTCCACACCGCTGAGAAGAAATATGAGTCCGATGGTGAAGAATGTCAGCTTCTTTTTCCGTCGATTATCCATCACGTTTGGCTGCGTAAATCTCCTTTAGTTATTCTTTAACATACATGTCCATTCTAGTCTCTCTACAATACACAGTTGATATAATCCCGAACGCAGTGCTTCCAATTAGATCCGGATGCAGGAACATGTCACTGAGCCTGTCTGCGCCCAGCTGGATAACACATACCCAAAACAGGAGCGTATATGACGCACCGTGTATTGTTCTACATGTCTCTGCAGTGGTTGCGCATGGTGCCAGTTTGTACCCGTGCAACGCAGTAAACGTCCTGAGCAGGTAAAGCTGGAGGCACCAGCCCTGGAGTGCAAACATTACACAAGTAAAGGTCCCCAGGATGCTCCTGCGCAGTGTAACGCAGCCTACATCACTTCCGGTAGATTAACATACACCTTGGAACAGTCCCAAACATGGGATCCACACTCCTCCACAGATTTAAAGCGCAAGTGTCAGAGTAATAATGCCATTATCACGCGAAATGCGATGAATCATTTTGAGGAAGTTAAATTTGATTTGCACAGTAGAGTGATTAGAAGCCACTGCATGACAAGAAGACACATTTTAAAATCTAAAGAACACTGTGAAGTTATAATACACAGATATATGAGTCAAAATTAATCTTATTATAAGATGCACAAGATGTTACAATGGATAAACCACAAAATATAAAGCTTCCTCCGCCTGAAGTTAAAAATAAATGCCACAAAATCAAGTCAGCAGCATGATATGCCACAGGAGAACATGCTCCAGTGTGGTCCAACCAATGTGCTGACTCTGTTATTTCTTGTCTTCAGTTTTAACCCTTTCTTGCATGAATTATGACTACTTCAGTCAAGTGTTTATATTCCTCTTTAGGCATGAAAACAAAATTGAATTGCATTTTATCAAACATGCATTTTTCAAGGAATTTTTCATATGCCCACTCAGGTGGACAGGATGCATTTAAGTTTTCAACTGAAGAAATATAAACCGATGAAAAAAAATTGATGTATTAAGAGAAACTATAAAAAATATATTTTCAATGCTGTTAAACTAGAGTGTTTACATATTTTGATGTCCTCCTGAAACCCTGCGAACTCATATGAGGACACCACATTTTGGGTTTACCTGACCTTATACTTAATTCTTAGGCCTGCTGTCCTCATGGACACTTTTTTGTCCCATCTAGTGGCCCTGGCAGAGTTTCAAGAAGATGATCAAACTTGACTATCTAGAGAAAGTAACAAGGTTTCCATCTGTGAACGTGCAGAAGGATAATCTGCACAATGCACTAATCCATGTAAAAACAAGATGGCAGCCATCTCTGCCAAGTCAGTCTGCAGCTGATCCCAACACAAATGTGGACACGGTCCAAAACTTGATCACATTTTATTGTTGAAACTTGTTTATTTGTGATTAATAATGTTTGATATGCCAACAAATTTGACCAATTTTAGCAACAGTAACAAGATAAGATGCCCTTAATTAGGAAGTACTCTTTTGAAGACACTGAGACTTTATTATTGTTGACAATGTTTAGTTTTTTATTCTTATCAGATCCTATTGATCCCAAATAGATAGGAGAAATAAAAAATGCATACCAAACAAAAGTTTGGGTCTTAGGAGGATATACTCCAATACTGTTCAATGCATGTGCAAAAGCATTAAAGCTTCCTTCTGACTCCTCAGTCTCCCCCCTCTTTCTACACCTCCTTCTTGTATCCTCCCTCCCTCTTTCAGCTCCTTGCTCTTGACTCCTCAGGCTACCACACACACACCTCCCAGTTGGTAAAATAGCCAGTAACAATCTTTAACAAAATATGTTATAAAACATGCCTACTCTCCATTAACTATATACAATACTATATACTATATACAATTAAATGACTAATACCTTATTTCCATTGGTATTTTTGTCATATATGCAGTGATGATTTCTGGGTAATATGTATGTAGGTGTTACCCATATCAAGTCTCTAATTGATCATGTGACGATAGTAACAACCTTACACCACTGCTTCAAGGTGTTATTACAGCAGCTGTCACCAGTGGGAAAATGATTTGCCTGAGAGGGCATAAGTTATACTAAACATTCACCTGATGGAATGTCAGCAAGTCACCCACAGTATCTGCTGTTTTGTTTCACAGGCGCAGACACTGATCAGTGTGGATCTCATGATGGTGAAAATGTTGTTTCAGAGGCTTCTCTGCCCTCACAAGAGTATTCTGATGCAAAACATTTCATATTTTACTTGTTTGACCAAGAAATGTGTTACTGATCAGCACAAACGCTTTCAAAAACATACAGTACACCATTCAAATCCAATATTTTCAATAGGACTTCCATACGTTTCTATAATAACTTGGTGTGGTACACATGCAGTTACTCTCTAAAACTTTATACAGCCTCACCGCTGACCTTTTTCCTAAGGCTACAAGCTTACTCTACTGCATCACTATCTTTAAATGTATTTCAGGCTTTCCGTGCACATATCAGGAGTCTGTGTGAGTCACTGACAGTGTTCCTCCCCATCCTGTGACATGCATTACCACTGACACTGAGACATCTGTGTCGCACACAAAAGCTGCCTCTTCACCCTTAATTCAATCTTCTGTCTCCTGAGTGTCCACATTTTAGTTTGCTGCCATCTAAGCAAATAGCCATGACATGACATGCCTATAACATGCTGGGTAATGAACTCTCATCTGTGAGCTGGGAGAAAAATATCTGAACTTCCTGAAATATTTGCCCCAAGGATCTAGTCGACGTTTTATTTTTCATTATACATATATTAGTATTGATTTCAAAGCAAATTTTAATTGCAAGCCTTTTTGAAACAGCTATACGTTTCATGTGCTTTTCTTGTTATAGTACTTATTTAAAGTTTAATGTGAAGGCAATACACCGAAAACCCAAGCACATTCCTTGTAAGTGAAAATAAACCTTATTCTAATTCTGATTTTTAGCTTTGGATGTGAGCTAGGGCTGCAACTGACAATTATTTTCATTACTGATTAACTGTAGAACATTTTCCTATTTAATTGTTTGGTCTACAAAATGTCAGAAAATAGTGAAAAATGTCCATCCAGTTTCTCAAAATCCACGGTAATGTCTTTGAACATATTGTTTCGTCAGTCCAAAACCCAAATATATTCAGTTTGATGTGATATAAAACAGAAATGCAGGAAATCTCCATACTAATGTGAGTTGATTCCAGTTACTCTGGACCAACTGTCCTCATTAAGTTTTCATAGACACTAATAGTGCATCGAGTCCCTTTACTGGGACTCTGTTTTAGGAAAGAGATGTTGCTGACTGTTCTGTTGTTGTAAAAGTAACTTTTCAAAGCTGTGTGTAGTCAATCTAAATCCTTCTGGATTACATATCCATCAGACAAGTTAATAGTTCAGTCATTGGTTATAGAAATGCCAAAATATTGTATTAATTTAGTCAAAATTAATATTAATTTGATGATGTATAATGTCTATCAATTTTATGTTTTCCCAGAGACAAAGCAGTGTTCCAGATCTTTGTCCTGCAAGCTACAGTTAGCACCAGCTTCTTTATATGAGCCATCTTCACTGTAGCACACAGCTTAGCTGCAGTCCAAATACTGAGACACAGTGTTACAAAATTAAACCTATTCAACAAATTTGAGAGACCACCTAACAGTTGCTGAATTATATGGTGTCCTGGAAGAAACCAAAAAGAATAAACATGCCAACGTAAAGAAGATAAAAGCTTAAAAAAATGACTGACCATCTAACAATCACTTTGTATAAAAGAAATCTTTATTTACAGTTTGCCGCAGCAATTCTGAAGTATCACAGTCTTTAATCTGTAGTCCATCTCCTCCGAGGAAACGTTTTGGAACTACAAGAGTAAAAAACTAAATGTTTTCTTCAGCCCCCGTGTGTTCTGTGAGCTGCTCTCTGATGATGGTCACATGCTCCAGACTTGGTGATACGAATGTTTTCAGTTTGCAGTTCATTCTGATTTTAAGGTTGACTGTGGCAGTGGAACAACCAGGGTTGGGTTTTAGAAGGCCAGTTTCTTCATGAGGAGGTAGACCCTGGAGTCCACCTCAAAGCCGTGGAGGTTGTTGGCGTCTCCTTGGAGCCTCATGAGGAGGCCGCCGTAAGACACTTAGGCAGAGCTGAAAGGAGGAGCACATCCATGCAACTCGTTTAAATCTGATGAATCAGAGATTAGAATGTCTCTTTTTAAAAAATGATAAAAAATGACATTGTCTCATTATCTCTCACTCACACAGACTTTTGTTGGCCAGTTAATGATTTTCACTAAATTTTCAGAGAACAGTATGTTAATGATAAACCCCTTACATACGCCTACAGCAGTGGTTCCCAACTAGTTCAGCCACAGGGTCCAGATTTGTTTAGTCATTAGTTCAAGGTCCACACAGTTCAATATTTTCAGCGTCATTGCATTTGGCCATGTCGTCGAGCTTGTTTGCTGTCTTTGTTAAGTAGCTGTCTGTTGTTAACTCACTCTACAGCAGGAAACAGCACTTCAGAATAAAAGCTCTGTGTCGGATATTTGCTGAACTTCAACTTGGATTTTTTACAAATTTGACACATTTGTGAGTCACTTGCAGTCCATTTAGAATGGACCTGTGACCCACCTGTTGGGAACCACTGGCCTACAGTGTATTCTTATACTGTTTCTGTGTTGATTTCAATATGATACTGTGGCAGTGACTGGCAGTTTTTATATTGACATTTATAAGCTTAACTTCAGAGCCTCATTTACAGCAAGTAATATGACTCACAGGCGTGTGGCTGCTTCTGTTGAAGTCTCATCACCCTCAATCTTGTAAACCTTCCCATACATGACGTAATCAAACTGGTCCGCTCTGGAAATGTAGAACAAAGTTAAATGAGAGCACATATTCAAATCAGCAGAAGACACTGCACATCACAGGCAAAAGTCACATCTACAGAGGAGACACACAAGTGCTACTGGATCCTTTCAAAATAAAAAAATATTAAGATTTTGTTGGTAATGTTTGATGCATCAATATGTTGTGACCTCTGCTGTTAGTCAGCATCATCTGTGAACTGGTTGTGTGTGGGTGGGATGAGCAGCTGATTAGGACTCTCTGCTGGCTCCTGGGCCCGGTGCTCCCTGACAGGCACCCTCCCCTGGTGATGTGTCACCCTAAGTTCACCTTTGGTTCCCTTTTGCTTATTTTGTAGACTCTACAACATTCCCACACTACACTGATCACACATGCACTCCCTTCATTACTGATCCCACTGACATCCACATCCCACTCATGTTCTGTTCCTTCTGATTGCAAATTCAGTTACTTATGTTAAATAAACTACTTTGCGTCATTGTTTAAAGATGTGTGTCTTTCATATTTATCATGGCTCCAGAGCCAGGCTATGACAAATATATGAAGAGCAACTGTTTTACCGAGATGGCCGATCATCCTGAGGATTATACTCTCCGTCGTCTGGTGTTCCATCTTCATAGAGCGTGCTGGCAATAACCAGTCTGAACTTGTCACCTTAATGAAATGGACACGTGAAGAAAATGAGTTTATATTGTGCACTTATACATCTTGGGTTAGCAATGAGTCTTTGATGCATGGTGCTTTGAGCCTTTTTTTTAGGTGCTCTCACATGTCGAGGTCATAGAGGGATATTTAGCTCTTTGGCTTTTCGTAAGCTAAAGCCAAATAGTGAGGGTGCAAGTGAGTGTACACAAACTAATTGCACTTTTACTGTAATGACTTGTGGAAATATAACTGATTTGTTCTGGTCATGCTGTATCCAAGCTGAATTTGAACATGACTGTGTTACACAAAACGACCATTAAATGACTTCCAAACATTGACTTGGAAAAATATTTAGAAAAATATACACAAACACAAAAAGGTTGCTCCTTACCAAGATCAACAGGATAGATCTGAGTGTTCACATCCAAGATTAGGTCCATCTTAAAAGATTCACTTTCACAATGCAGACGAGATACTGTAGAAAAAAAAATAGTGGAAAAGTTTGGGTTCATTAATTTGCACTTTTAACCAGATTAACACTTTTTGAAAACCACAACAAATACAGGACGGTAACCAAATTGTACGCGATTATAATTTCCCACTTGCTTTAACCTTGTTTTATAAAAAGATTTCACACACCTCTGTCAAACTTCTTGCCATCTGGATCGATGTCCTTTACATCAAATATATCCTCAAACAGAATTCCTGCCATCGCTCTTCTGGTCTATGAACTTGAAAAGGAAAAAGGAAAAGCATATCATTAAGCCAGTTTTTACTAAGGGGAAAAAAAGGTTAAATGAAAACAACAGAAATGCCAAGGAAGCTTTTCACTTTAATGACAACTGCTCATATTTTACAAGGGTGGAAATCATAAGAGGCCCCACAATATGATATTATAAGGATATTTAAGTACAGTATTATTGTGATTTTAAACATTTTTGCAATAACCTGAATATTTCAATAACACATACTGTGATATGATTTCATTTACTATGTTTTTTCCAACTGCAAGTTATGTCCCGGATGGTTTTTTATTTATCAAAATAAAGTTTTCAGTCTGTTAATCTAACTTCAATCATTTTAATTGCAGCAAAATGTATCTAGTGGACTGATAAAGCAATAGGTTATATTATTCTAGTAGGCTACTAAAAGCCTGATTTGTATTTGCAATATTCAGAATTTATCTTAAAAAATCCATACATGGTGTCCCTGTATCAATATAATATTACCACACAAAACATGATAATATGCCTTACCGATTTTCCTACAATGGTGAAAGTATGATCTTACAAATTAAATCAATACTTTCCAAAGCCATTTTGATGCCATGTAAAATGATGTATCACTTGTTTTAGTCACATTAATATAAATATATATCAGGATTTGTAAAAATACAAATGGTAATGCTACAGTTTACATGCTCATGTTGCACAGAAAGGACTGATATTAAGAAGTGCACTAATAAATACACATTCATCAGCAGAAACAGAAAGAAAGGTGAAGAGGAAAAGTACTGTTTTAAATGCATTTTTAGCAGTTTATGGTTTAAGACCAGTTATATCAAACTAGAAGATGCCGAAATTCAAAACAAAGCTTTACAGTTAATGTTCAGTGCATCTCCAGACTACAGTCTTCCTGACACTAAACATTTGTCACGATCATTATTCTAAATCTAATCAACTATCACCACATAATGCAAGAAGTGCATTATGTGGTGTAGCTGAATTAAATGAGACAAAGCTGCCACAACACTGGCTTTGACTTGTACTGATGAAGATGCAATCCCACTCAACACAGTCCATGTGGAACATGATTATCAACACTAGCAACACGTCAAACTTAACAAATTGTGGGTTACTAAAATAATACCACTCGACGTTAATTTAACAGCAGTACTGCCTGGCATAGCTGAATTAGCCTTAGCCAAAGTTATACGGTCTTGTCATAACGTTGACTACAACTTCAATAGTGTCTCCTATTCAGGCTAGCTGTTAGCTTTAGCATGTTGTGCACACACTTCCTCAACCTTACCTCAAATACGATGATGTTCTTGTGTTGTATTGTGCACAGAATAACGTCGCAGTCACTCGGTGTCTCTCGGTGGTAATGTTTGTTTTAAGTGTGCGCTAGAAAGCTTATTAAAGTAAAATTTCATTCATTACCGGTGAAACGGATTGTACCGCGGAGAAACAATGTGCTCGACCTCTGACACGGGAACTACTTCCGGTTGAAAATAAAGCCTAGAAGAAAAGAAAATTACTATTGTCTGTGGTTAACAAAATAAACATATGAATTATGAAAAAAGTCAATATATCTGTCGTTATTATGTTAAAAAACATTATTATGCTTTACACGTTATTTGTTAAGTTTCCCGTGTGGCGCAGCATTATGAACCTTTCTTTTAGGAAACTATGACAATAATAACAATTATTAGATAAATATTACTACTGTCTCTTCTAGTTTCTTTAAGAAATAACTAAAAACAAACGGTGTGCTTTCACTTACTTACGACATTTCTCTCTACTTTCCAGCCTGCATTTCCCAACCATTTGGTTGCTAGGTGTCTTAGCGTCCTATCTGTGTACGGTTGCTAGCTAATGGTTAGCTAACTGATATCGATGTAAGTGGAGCCCATACGCTTTGTCGAAGATGGATTATTTAAACTTCAGTTACGGATGAAAACACCGGCAGCGATATACTCTTTTATTCACCTATTAAATGATGTGCGAATAAGGTGAGAATGACGTTGAGGTCCTCAGATAACGTTAACTGATTAGCTTGTCGGCTAACACTAGCTTGCCACATTTGTGCTAACGTTGATGTTGTTGCTAAAGTTAACTGTTGAAAACTGTTGAAATGTAGAAAAAAAATACATTGCGCTATTCACGGTGTGGCTATACAGCTGTAAAATGGCAGTTAAAGATGACTTGTGTGTTATTCAGTCAAGAATATTAACATTACATTAACACATATGTTTTGCAGCTTTGCCTTTATTTTAGTTTCATAATCACGAAGATTTTCTCATATGATTATTAACATTGCGGTGTAAAGTTACTGTCCTGTCCTTGCAGGCTCCACAGACTGCTTGATGAGAGCAGAGGTGTTTGCTGTCAGTAGGTGTTGCAAAGGTTTTGGACACTCACATGAGTTCCAGGGAGGCAGCCAAGATGGGGGACATCTTGGCAACTGAAGCTGATCTTCTTGGGATGATTAAGGAGGTAATAGATTCACTATTTGAAAATGCACCGCAGATTGAGCATTATTCCAAGTCCATTAAAATAAAATAAGATGCACAACTTTCCCCCCCATTAAACCATGTTCATATAGCATGATATTAAAGAGAATTTTGTCTAGAGAAGTGCGGCTTGTGTGATTTGAATGGCTTAAACCCCATCTCTTTTCTGCACTGGTTAAGGTGGAGTTAATGCCACTTGTGCTGGTTTTGTGTCTTTTGTAGTACCTTAAGTTTGAAGAATTTGAGGAGACGGTGCACAGTTTTGACAAGGAATGCAAAAGCAAAGGCAAGCTCGTCCCAAAGCCTCAAGGAAGTACTTTCAGAGACTCAAAGACTCGTGGCATTCAGGTAAATTCTACCATTTCTATAATTCCAGTTTGTTGAATGGGCAGCATGTTCCAGAGGACAGAGTCAAGACTGGCTCACTTGTTTTAAAATATATTTTTTGCAGAAGTATTTGTTACTAGCCCTATCTCTAAACATTACCAGGTCATTTTAAAATTATTATTATTATTGTTGTGTATCAGTTACTTTGTGTGATATGTAATTAAAATAATCATTAATCAAATTGTTCTTGCTGATGGATTTGCTCCCAACACCCTCTTCTTTACCTCCGACCTTTCTAGAAAGACCTCCTGAGCTCTTTTGTTGATGGAGACCACAAAGTGTTCTTTGAACTGTGGACGGAGAATATTCCCTCTGAGATAAAAGACACTGACACCGAGGCCCAGAGCCTGGAGTTTTACCTTCACATCCACTTCACCATCTACCCGCTGAGGAGGCACCCTGGTAGACATGTATGTAGATTTGGAAAGTTTCTATGGACTTTCAACAGGAGCATTACTGTATTTTTAGGTTATCTTCCAACAAAACTCAACCATGTCTTGCAACCCCGCTCTTCCCTGCAGCTGAATGTCATTACGTGCTGTTTTTCAAATTGTCCACTGAGCTGTGCTATAGGCTTGTTCTCAGTGGGCTGTAAATGATGTTGCTACACTTTGCAAGCAACCATTTCTAACCTCTTTGATATGCCAGTCTTTGCAGTTTGAGTATATATATTATTTACGTGAGTTACTTTCAGTGGGAGTAGCAAGTCATGAGACAGAATCTAATCGAAGAGAATGCGTGTGTGCAACAGGGGAAGTAAATGATGTAATAGGCTTAATGTGCATTTTTTTATTGTCGTGAAATAAATCTGTGAACCTGAATTTTTGTCCAGGACCGAGCTGAGTTTGAGGAAAGGATTTCCCATTTCAAACAGTACCTGGAGACCAGAGGAGCAGCACTGAGCCAGACCACAGAGTTTCTGCCTTATTACGCCTTGCCTTTTGTTCCCAACCCCACTGTTCACCCCTCCTTCAGAGATCTTTTCCAGGTACTTCAGCTGAAGATATGCAACTGTATGCACAACAGTTTCCTTCGGGATAAATTGTGTTTTATCTGTTCTTATCTTCACATCACCTGGTCAGTTATTGCTGGTCAGTTATTACATAATATTATGTAACAGTTTTACCCACTCCCACCTTCAGCGTGAACGTAACCATATTTTAATTCACCCTACTTTATGTGTGTTTAGGACTCTTGGATTCCACAGTTGAAGGATAAACTGGAGCGGTTTCTGTCAGTGACACTGAAGCCGTCCAACAACCCGAGGCTGCTGAATTTATATGTATCCTTTATCGTGACTCACTCACATGTCATTGCTGAGAAAGTCACAATAGCTGGACTTTATATTTTTGTTTCAGTGTCTTTGTTGTTGTCAGTGGCGAGATATGAGTAGATATCCTAACAGTGTTAATAGTTTTCTGCTTTACAAATGATGCAAGCTGTCACCACAGCACACAAAAGTTGTCGAGGAGAAAAAACTTTCAGCTATGAAATGCTTGATTCAACTTCTTACATGGCCATTCAGTTGGATATTTTTCAGTGGTTAACTCTTGAGCTGTGTTCATACAGCAGGTGACAGCCTTCACAGATGTGGCTTACAAAGCTGCGTAACATTAAGTAAAAGCTGTGTAGCCTCAACAACAGAGATAAATGTCACTATAAATTGTCTTCAAACAGTAAATCTGGATGGGAGCAACTCAGTGTTTTAACACAGGCCAAGTACAGAGCGGTTTTCATCACCTCCTCTGTCTGAGCTGCACATTTAAACCTCAAATAAACAGCCTTTCTGTAGGTGACTAAAGATTTAATTAACATTCAGACTGTTGCCCAGACCTGGTCATTTCATATCCTGCAAACAGTCCCTGTCTGATTTGCATTTATAAATCGCTGTGTTTGAGTATGGCAGAAACTAATCTGACACTAATTCACCCCAACCCTTTCAGAGTAGAAGGGCAAGTGAAGGATAACAAGGATTGTTGCTTTTACTGGAAACCCAGTGGTTCGACTTTCCTTCTTCACATGAAAACTAAACCATGAAACTAAACCCTATCCCCATTAGCTGATGATCAAAGCATACAGATTAACATAGTAATCATCATGTAAAGGGCTGACCAAAGAAAATCTCTCTTGTCTAGTCATATATAAAATATAAAGGAGCGAGGTTGTCTAACATGTATAATCCATCAATATGTGAACACTTACACAGGCAGACACAACATACTGCTTGTTGAGTGCCCACACACATTTACCTGCTTACGTGCATGTAAAGGCACTGAATAATGGCTCTGTTGGCCCACCCAAGGGTGTTGGTCATTGTTCTTTTCTATAAGAGATCTGTCCCTCCCTTTAAGAAAAACCAGTGCTGATCCCATGTTGACACATATATCTCTTCATACAATAAAACTGATTAGATAAATCCTCAACAAATGTTTTGATGATAGATTTCCTAGCTCCAAACAGGATATACAACCTGCTGTGTGTTTGTCTTTCGTCTTGTGAAACTCAGGCAAGGCATTGCATCTTTACGTACCTTTTTCCGTATGTGTATCTGTGGATGAGGAAAGAGATACAGTACAAACTGTAGACTTGTGTTCAGTTGAGTGCTAGAATGTAATCTTTAACAGACATCACCCAGAAGGAGGGAGGAAGGAGTACTAAAGGTAAATATCCCTCTCATGTAATTCACGTTTTACAGTGTATTGCTATAAATGTTTCTGTCCCCCCATTAGATATTACCTATCATGTGATAGCACAGACACCACCTGCAGACTGTCTATACAACAACGTGTTTGTCATTTCCACTCATGCAATTATTTCTTGAGTAGGTGCTTTCATTTTTGGATTTTATTTCACTTTCAAATCCCATTAATTATTTTGGAAAGGAGCAAAAGCATCCCATCTGCTGAAATCTTAATTAACACTGGTGAAGAAACACTCCAGATAAGGATTAAAAACCCTCTCTCTAACCAAAAACAGAAATAACAAAGTCATGCAACCCCAAAGTCTGCATCAATATATTGATTTGGTGATCAGTAATGATCGATATCGTAAATGCAAAGTCAATTCAATTTCAATCATTTTTATTTATAAAGCCCAATATCACAAATCACAATTTGCCTCACAGGGCTTTACAGCATACGACATCCCTCTGTCCTTAAGACCCTCACAGCGGATAAGGAAAAACTCCCCAAAAAAAACCCCTTTAACGGGGTAAAAAAACGGTAGAAACCTCAGGAAGAGCAACTGAGGAGGGATCCCTCTTCCAGGACGGACAGACGTGCAATAGATGTCGTACAGAACAGATCAGTATAATAAATTAACAGTAATCCATGTGACACAATGAGACAGAGAGAGAGAGAGAGAGAGAGAGAGAGAGAGAGAGAGAGAGAGAGAGAGATGCAGGTAATGACAGTAGCTTACAACAACATTAATGAAAGTAATAATATTATAGTTATAGTTCTGGCTACTGTGGTACAATATGTTGAAAGTATGTATTAATATCTGACAGTATACTTGTGTGACAATAGTCATATGTGTATAATAACAGTAGAAGTATGACTAATGACTAATGATGGCAGCAGCAGCAGGAGGCATCTGGCAGGACCACGGCAGCAGCACAACCACACACGTCACGCTGTCCAGGCACCGCTGCGGTATGAGTTAATCTGAGAGACAGTGGAGCACAAAGGCTCCGGAGAAGAAGCCGAGTTAGTGACATCCAGAATGGCCGAGTTAGCAAGATGCAGTAATAGGATGAGAGAGAGAGAGAGAGAGAGAGAGAGAGAGAGAGAGGGAGCCCGGTGTATTATAGGGGGTCCTCCGGCAGACTAGGCCTAAGTCAGCCTAACTAGGGGCTGGTACAGGGCAAGCCTGAGCCAGCCCTAACTAAAGTGAAAACATCGATACATATCATCATTATTAAAGATGCACCTTTGTTTTGAAATTCAAATGGCATGTCTGTGTTACCATTTCTGCCCAAGCACACCGCCTTCCTAAACATTTAGCAGCCTTGTGCCAGGCCGACAGTGGCAAGTAGCCAGGAGAAAGAAATCTTATATTGATCACAGGCACCTGAATCAAATCAAAAGTCCTGTGATATCAGCAAATATTGTATTGTTGTTCAAAGAATCGATAAAATGTTTAATCTTGATAAAACTAGTGATTTACACTATTGATTATTACACAACTTCGGTCAGATACATCACATAGATTATTGGTTTCATTTGTATGTCTCATTTGTAAACTCATTTTTTGTGCTTAACTGTCAATTTCTTGTTAGTAAGTGACAGTCCACAGTATTTTAAAGGGACAGAAGAGATGATGGGAAGCTTTGCCAAAGAGTTGTGCTGGAGATAACTTCTGCCATTGTTGCCATTTGTTGCAGATAAAGGTTGATAAAGGTTAATAATTACTCAGTGCTCCCTTCAAGATGGAATTGACATCTGAAGTACTGGCTTGCAGATTTATCAGAGTGCATTGAGGTGCATTTTTGTAGGCTGACGTGGGAGTTAGCGTCACCCTTTTTACCCCATCAAAAAGCCTCTGGGATTTTGCCATTGGATTTTGGAGTATTGCAAAACAAGTTCTGTGGCAAACACAAGTTTGATTCTTACACATTTTGTTCAGCAAAATAATCTTTACAAATGAACACCACTTTTATGATTTGTGTAAATGCAATCACCGGGAGTAAAACGCTAATGTTAGGCTGTAAACAAACTACACTGCGGTTGCAAAACGTAATATCACTGTCACAATGATGCTGTAAAGCTGTCTACAGTATGATGATGTGTGGTTTCACGTAGCCACTTGATAGCAATCACCTTTTTTATGACACCTAAAGGCTTCAAAGTTTATGAGTGGGGTATTTACTGATTTGTTTTATGACGTAGAACAAAACACAGACCTTATTTCAGACATCGAATCAAAAACCCATCCAAAAAACCCACTGACTATGAGACAAGGACACCTGGAGTGCAAAAATGTTAACTCATTTCTGGGTTTTAGGACTCATTCCTGTACTGCTCTGTTTAAAAAGATGACAAACATCCATTCATTCACTTTGTCATTTAAATTTTCAAGTGAAATATTTAATATTTTGTTACACAGAGAATGTCACGTCTGATATGAATGTTGCTTTTCTGTGTTTCTATTTTTCAACCTTCGTGTGTGTGTGTGACTCTTCAGAGGCCATGCAGCAGCTACAGCTCCAACTGGCTGAATCGGAGCGGCGCATCACTAGCTACGTGCGTAAGTTCAACAAGATGCAAGCTGACTACCACAACCTGATTGGAATCACTGCTGAGCTGGTCGACTCATTGGAGGCCACAGTCAGCGGAAAAATGGTAGGTCAGCTTGGCTGTGGGGTGAACAGACACACACATTGTAACACACAGGCTACAGGCACACAGTAGACACACCAAACGAGACACACACACCGACACAAATGAGCTAATAGTGGTGTAAACACAAACACTGCACAGACACACAAGAATGGTGTAATTGAAACACTTACAATGACAATTTTTTTTTGCAAAGTTTAAGCAGACCTCAGTATTTTAAATGCACACATATGATCTTCACTACTGGAGAAACAGGGAGAAAAAAATGTCAGCCCTGCCCTTCCTATACCCACATACAGAATCTTAAAGCTCAAGGGGCCGGCTGTGTTTTTGCAGATCTCCCCTGAGTACCTGCAGAGTGTGTGCGTTCGCCTGTTCAGCAGCCAGATGAGGCAGAGCGTGGTGCAGAGCACTGACTTCACCAGACCTGGAACTGTGAGTGAGAACACACACTCCTCCTCTACCTCCTTCCCACCTCACTGGCAGAAGAATTACAAAACACAAGGCCTCAAGGCAAGATGATTTCGGTACAAGCGGAGTAAAGTCCTCACAGGGCCTAACATCATAGATAGTGGTAAAGTGGACATTGTGTTTGAAAAGGATATTAAAAAGTTGTTTTTAAAATGAGAGTTTATCTGCCCCCATCTCCTGCATCCTGTACAGAGTGTAGCCAACTTTAAGCCATGTAGTAACCCTGCAGTTTGTATCCTGGAAACAGGCTACGTGATCCTGGTGTTTTATTAATAACCACACACACTTGGAAGGCTTGTTGAAAAGTTAAATATGCATGCCACAGCTCTGAATGCAGGAACAAGTTCAAACATTAGTCACAGAAGGTGTTATAGTAGAAAATTCCAAATTAAACAGCAAGTAGATGATCTTGTTAGCTGTTCACAGATAATCAAAAAATTGCCCACTCTGAAAACTCAACGACCACGCTTACTGTCACTGGCTCTCATTGTGGTGTTGACCTCTAGTTTGTGAAATCTTTTTTCTTTCTGTGTTGAACTGAACAACCTCTTTCTGTGTGTTTGTGTTTTTGCCGTGTGTGATGCTCTTGTCCGCAAAGGGATATTACTCTATGAGTCCCTATGATGATGGCTATGTAAGTTTCATTTGTTTTCATCTTTACTTCCTGTCATTGCTCAGGTCCCCGCTTCTCATCTTGCTTGTGCCTCGCCGCATCTCCTCTTCCTTTCCTTTTCCTGTTGTCTGCCTCCTTTTCCTCTACTACAGATGTACATTTTTAGGCCTGCCTGCCTCAGTCTATATTCCCCTGGTTTCCACTAGATTGACCTAGTTTAAAGGTAAATTTGGCCTCGTTTGTTGTAAGAATGACCTCTTTTGCCAGGCCGCTTGTTAAGCCAAACAAGAGGGTCTCTCTCAGGGCGTACCTCTTCATTAAAATCATTTGTTCTCAAAGGCCGAAGTCATTGTTCCTTCTCTCCTCTTCTTTTTTTGAAAGGTAAATGCTGTCAGTTCCAGTTTTCTCCCCTTACCATTGTTTTTGACAGTGTAGTTTTGAATTTTTTTTGACAGACACAGTGACAGGAAATGAATAGCCAACACAAGGCTCTTTGATGTGAAAGCACTTCTCTCAAGCTCAGGCTGTCAAACAGGGTAGATCAATTTACAGCTGTTTGAATAGAGGCAACTGGAACGCTTTATGTAATTGTGGTGGTTCTTAACAACCTCAATGGCAAACACTCAAGCTGAACACATGATAAAACATTCAACAATAATGCTGATCTGGATTATGCTCTTGGAACATCAGGTTAAGCCTTAACTGTTGGGTGAGGCTAGAAATTGGAAAATAAATCAACCAATATTTGATGGATTCTGAATGTCAATTTCCTGAGATATTTCCTGTCATATGAACAAGCAAACTGTTCTGTTTATTGCAACCTAACACCATAACTGACCATAGTTATCAGACTTTTTATACCTTCACAATATTGAGATGGCAGATTTTTTTTGCTACTCCTCTGTGGTTTATTTCACCGCAGGGAAAGAAAACAGGATAAGATCAGGGAGCAGAGCCGTCTACTTAGACAATAGCATCCACAATAAATGGCCTTCAGCTGTCCCCACGGTCATAAAAGAGTAAATAGTGAGAAGACACGCTAAATAGGTGAAGAGAGTAAGAGCACCTCTTATGTAAACTGTGCATTGTCAAGGAATTGGGGTCAAGCTTCGCTTTGTGTAGTCAACCAGCTGAAATCTGAGAATACATGTGGCCTTAAGAGCTACGTTTTATTAAAATGTAGAGGTGCCTTGTTGTTTTTGCTCCTGCTTCTTAAAGCATTGTGTTTGACACCACTATTTTTATATTCAGCAAAGCTGTGTGGCTTTCCTGTTGAGACAGTAATGGAGAATAATTGTTATACATGTATAGGCATCTCTTAGGCCCTGTCTACCCTACATGTATACGGATTTTTAAAACTGATATTTTCCCCTTTTGTTTTTTGAAAAACATTCTATCCATATGACCTTCATTTTACAAAATATGTCTGTCCATACTACAACGCAGTCGACTCTAAATGCTCATCAACGTTAGCTGTCCAATCACACAAAGGTGGTTATGTGTACAGGCTGATGTTACCTTTTTTAAAACTGGAGCTCCAATCATTGTTGATTTCAATTGATATAAGGATGAAAGAGCTCTCTCAAAGATCCGAGATCTGGCCAGTTTAGTACCTGCACTCCTTCACTATGAAGCCACGCTGCTGTAACACATGCAGAAGGTGACTTGGCATTGTCTTGCTGGAATACATAGGGACAGCCCTGAAAAAGACATCATCTGGATGGCAGCATATGTTGCTCCAAAACCTGTATGTACTTTTCCAGCATTCATGGTGCCTTCACAGATGTACAAGTTACCCATGTCATGGTCACTAACACACCCCCATCCCATAACAGATGCTAGCTTTTTATGCTGGTAACAGTGTGGATGATCCCTGTTTAGTCTGAGATCAAAAAATATTCGCAAATCATTGCATCCCGTTTTTATTTACATTTTACCCAGCGTCCAGATTTTTTGGGATTGGAGTTGTAGTAACTAGATCAAGCAGTGCTAGCAAAATATAAATAAAAATAGTCTACCATTGCTGTTATTGTTTTTGGCACATGTTCGATACACAAAGAAACAGTGGGCACGCACGACTTGAGGGGATGATGTTATTGTTTCCCAAACACGAATACACAGTAAACAGTTGAGTTTTCAAAAAATTTCACCTTAGAAGGTGTTTTAAAAAATCTCTGGTTTAATGATCTAAAACTCACTTTGCATGTCGACAAGAAGCCAAAATGTAGAAGAAAATATCTGTTGACAAAAAATGTCTGTATATGTGTAGAAAGGGCCTTTATCAGGCCCCTGGGGGTCCAGACACCCCAGTGTCAAATGTCTCCTGGAAACGTGTCCCCCCTTGCCCTTCAGCATTCTTCTCAGCAACTGAAATGTTTAGAGAGGAAGGAATTTGGGAAGGAATCCAGGTATCGCTGTTCAGCTCTACTTCCGTATTACCTGCCGCTCACCAAAGCAAAAATGTAGCTAGGCCACCTGATACCCCAGACGACACGGATCTCTCCCCTGACCTTACACTGCCCCCACTATAGGCCTAACCACCCAGGCTTTAGATTAGATTTCAGGGCTCAAAATCCCCTCACAATAGTAAAAAAACACTAATAATTAAATCGCTCACCCTTCCTCCACACACCCACACCACCACCACAGTGATATATCACTCTGTTCAGTAGTCTCCACTTCTTTTTCTCAGACCTTTAGTGCAAGGACACAGAGGTATGACAAATGAAGGGGTGGCTGTTTCACACTAACCTGCCCTCTCTTGTTCTTTGTAATTGCTGAATTATCTTAGCGTAATTGTCACTGACTGCATGGGCAATGGTGCCAAACAGTACATGTATGTGCGGGGATTTAGCATGCACCACAAGCATGATGTATGCATGTCCAAAATACACTACTGACTGACTGATTGTTGTAGATGGAGAACACTGGGTAAGTAGCACCGGCAGATAGTACGGATGATTAAACAGATGAACAGTAGCATGGGTTATGTTTTCTGCACTTTGAATTAAAAATGTAATAGTTTTAATCTGAGATAGTCTAATTCTGAAATATACTCTGCTTCTCTTTGTCTTCTTTTCTCAATTCTGCTCTCTCTTACAGGCCTCATCGATGCTCCGAGCATCCATTGCACCACAGTAAGTCTCAGATATGAAGACTTTTTTTTTTTGCTAATCTGTACAGTGATAAGTGCCATGATAAAACATGGTTGACATGTCTTTATATTCATCTCCAGGAGATCTAAAGAGGTGCCAATGCTGCCCTCACTGGACTATGAAAAGCTGAAGAAAGATCTGGTTGAAGGCCCAGACAGACTCAGGTCCCTGCTGCTTCAGGCACTGCGCTGGGTGAGTTTTCATATTCTTATTTACAGTATATTCACATTGTTGTAAGTGTTGTTGTGCTGTTTTTAAGACATTGTTGCAAGTTTAACTTATACTATTCCATGTTTTATTCTTTGTTAACCCAGTAAAAGTTTGCTGTCTTAGCATTCAGTATATGCTGTTCACACAAAGCTATACCAGCCCAGTACATCTATAGTATTCTACTGAGCAGCTGCATTAGTATGTGTGGAGAGAAGAAAAAGCAGGAGGTTGTACTTTGAAGCAGCTCATAAGTGCTGCAGTTTGTGAACTGTTCATATTCACTTTTCATGCCTACTCCTCAGAGTCTTCATCGGTGGGTCTGTTTCTCCCGTTTGTTTTAGAGACTGACTCGCTCTCTCCCCGGAGAACAAAGAGACACAGTGCTTCAGGCCTTTATCAGTAACGATCTGCTGGAGCGCTACAGCACAAAACAGGTGGGACCATAGGACTACAGCGTGTTTTAACACTCTACAGCAATTACCACGGCAGATTTTTTACCACTGATGGGAACCGAAATGACTGTGATTTTGTTTTTCCCAGTCTATAGTTAATGTGACCATCAGAGACAAAGTGAAAAATAACTTATTGTCCATTGGCCTCACTGCCTAATTAATCCCCATGGGCTCTAATTTCAGGCAGGCCTGAGTTGGTGAATAGGCACCTTTGCTGGATGCACATGGGTTTGTTTCTCACCTGCTTTTGACTCAGTGCTGCGAAATGGGTGAAGAGCATAAACTTTAGACAAACTCTATGTGGTATTTCAGATGTCAACCATATGCTTCTGGTATATTAATCTTTATAAATGATAGGCTATCCCCTGTAAATGGCAAGGACACGCTTTTTTATATTATTTTACAAAAGTCCCTTAATAAAACCCTTAAATGATTGTTAGCAGAAAATATGGGTGCTTACAATCTATTTGCTATCGGCACATTCTTCAATCATGATGACCCCAGGATGGATAGGACATAAATGCTAGTTAAGTCATATATAGCCTATGTCTCTCAATCATTGTCTTGACAACTGATCATATTTGACACCCTGATTTCCCACAATATTATCGACGTATGTCATTTTAATTACGTTATAGTGACTGTAGATTTCCTATGACATGTTCCCAGCCTCAGATCAAGGAGCATTCTCTTTAGCAATTCACCCTTTTTATATTTAACAAAAGGCCAGAGCAGGAAACACAGATTGTATTCCAAATTTCACCCTTTGAAAAGGCTTTCAGAAGCCATACGCCTTTCTCACACGCTTTATTGTTTTTTTGTTTTGTTTTCTGTTCTTTTCACGCTCCCTTCACCAAGCCTTTAGCCGTAGGGTGCCATGTTTAAGAGAATCCCTTTACAGAGGAATAAATGATCCTCACCTCACACCTGAGCTCTTCTTTTATGTCCCTAACACAGTGCTCAAAGCCACCCCTGACTAACACTACAGTCATTTACTGTAAGGGCCACAATAATAGCGGAAGGGTGTCAAAATGGCACCACAAGGAACAGATGTTAAGTTTTCCCGGTGCTCTGTTCAGCTTGTGGCTCAGCTGCTGTTTTATCAACGCTGATATCATGCCCTGTTCGGATTGATCAGGTCAGTTCCATAAAGGTCCATGCATTTATTTTTATTTTTTTAATTTTATTTATTTAACAAGGACAGTGCACAGCTATTTCGCTGCAGAGTTAGTTTTAAGCTAATTTTCATCTGTAGTCCCTGGGCAGGAAACAGAATAATTTTGCTGCTAGAAGACACTATTATATGAAAAACACAGTTACAAAATAGAACATATTAATGACACAGCAATAATAATAGCGAGACAACAATACAACTACAACATTAAGATGGAACAAGATTACGTAATGTTTGAGTTCATGTGTGACGGGTACGTGATTGAGTTGATTTTAGCCATGATTTCATCCGAAATTTAAAATCAGCAAAGCTGCTGCACTGTCTTATTTCACTTGGTGCTGAGTTCCAGTAGTTTGTAGCTCTAACAGAGAAGACTGATCTACCACACTCAGTAGTATCTATCATCTCTGTTGGTCGTCCTAGATGTCCTCCCATTGTCTGAGTGCAGTTGTATGAACTCTTTTAACGGAGGAGCAGCCAGATCATTAATCACTTTGTACACTAGACAAGCATCAGCAAGGCACACAAAGCTGACAAAAGTCAATAGATGATGCCTTTGAATGACGTTACAGTGGAGATTGCATAATGTTTTTTGTCCATTGCCTTGAGTGTTTGTAGTGGGGCAAGTGTTGTTTTTCCAGCTTGTGAAAGGTTTGTAATGCAGTATGAAATATGTGAAAAAAAACATTGAATGCATGTATATTTTTTCTGCATCTAAGGGGAGCTGGTTTCGAATATACCTAAAGTTCCTTAAATTAAAAATTAAAAAATTAAAGTTGTGCGGATCATCTCGTCTTTATCGCCATCATAACTTTACTTCAGGATATTCTGGTTTTTACACATTCACCTGTTGTTTGTGCAAAAATTTGTACTGATAAATTAAGATCATGCTGCCTTTTCTGCCTCCACAAGGCTTGTATGTGCACAGCTATGCAGCTAGCTAAACACACTTCCAATTAAGCCATGATTGTGTTGAGATAATGCAAATGAAACAGTGCCTGATTTCAAGCTCACCATCTGTTCTGAAATTTAGACTTGGAAGTTTCCACACTAAGTACAAACTGCATCATGTTATGTGATACCACACCTTTTCAGCTGGAAGTAAAATCTAAATGTATGAGGCTCAGTTCAAAGTTTCATATAATGTGTTTTTATTCCTGCATTAAATGGCAAATTGCTTGCAAAGCCACAATGAGGATACAGCTGGATGGTCATAAAATACTAATGTAATGCAGTGGAAACACATTGTCTTTATCTGCTGTATAAAAAGCATCGACACTGTTGTGTGTTTCCACAGAAAACGGTGCTCCATTTAATGAGATCGAAGAACGAGATTGTCCGTCAATACATGGCTCGTCTCATCAATGCATTCGCCTCCCTTGCAGAGGGTAAGTGCTCAAGCATCATTATTACTTTGTAGCATGAGTCATTGCCTGACTGGATGCATTTGGAGACAGAGATTCACGGAAGACATCAGTTGCTTTTACCATAACTTTCCATTCAGGTTTAAAACCACTAATGATCTGAGCAGTAGCGTGCCAGCAACTTTGAAGAACATTTCATAAACAGACTATGTTGTAAAGATAAATGTAATTTGAGCTGACATAAATGACTTTATATTATGTAGGAAGTGGTTGGAAGATTATTTTTTAAGAGATCAGTTAGTTAACATTCATTGTCAAAAACGTAAAAACCTTAAGGGTTGAGGTGTAGAACTATGTTTGCATCAGGTTTATGTATCATTGGTGATTCCACTTAGCTTTGCTTTTGTTTAGGAGATAATTCTGTTGTGTTGTCTTCATTAGTGTTCACAGTTGCACCTAAAATTCATTGTGAAATGAATTCCTTTTCATTGTTGAAGCATCTACTTGTAACTTAAATCAGTCAGGTGTATTTCTATTTAGGATGGCATTGTCCAGTGAGACTTTAAAATGCCAGATGTAAAAAAGGCCTCTTCCATACCTTTTAATCCCAATTTCATTTTGTGTTAATACTTTCAGGTCGGGTATACCTCTCCCATATCCCCATTCTACTGAAACTTCTGACAGAGGCACTCAGGACGGAGGAAAAAGACTCCCTGACCAGAGAGAATGTGCTAGTAGCCCTACAGAAACTCAGCCTCAGGTAAATTTTAAAATGACAAGTGTTTTTATATACCCTTGCCTTTTAAAAAATAAATTTTTTTTTTTTTTTACTCAGAATCAGTGAACCAGATTCACTACACTACTTTTGTAGTGAACAATAAGTCATCGGTTTTTGTTTTTAATATTATTTTTTACGTCTCCATGCCGGTGATAGCCGTGGCTGGAGGCATTATGTTTTTGGGTTGTCCATCCACCAATATATAAATCTGTCCCTTTCTCGTGAGTGCAATTTCTGAAGAATGCCTTGAGGGAACCTCTTCCAATTTGGTACAGACGTCCACTTGGACTCAGCAATGCATTGATATTTTTTGTTGGCTCTAGGTCAAAGGTCAAGGTCACTGTGACCTTGTTTGTCTCATTTTCATGAACACGATATCTCAAAAAAAAAACAAAAAAACTTGAGGGATTTTTTTATTTTATTTTATTTTTTTTCAAATTTGGCACAAACATTCACTTTGGATTAGAATTTGCTGGCCAAAGGTCAAGATCACCATGACCTTGCATCCGTCACATTCTTGTGAACGTAGTATCTCAAGAACACCTTGAGGGAATATCTTCAAATTTGGCACAAACATTCACTTTGAGTCAAGGATGAACTAAATAGAATTTGGTGGTCAAAGGTTAAGGTCACTGTGACTGTCTGTTGCATTCTCGTGAATTTGGTATCTCAAGAACACCTTAAGGGAATTTCTTTAAATTTGCCATAAACATTCACTTTGAGTTAAGGATGGAGTGCTTCGAATTTGAAGGTAAAAGGTCAAAGTCACTCAGACCTTGCATCCGTCTCATTCTTGTGTACGTGATAACACAAGAACAACTTGAGAATATTACTTCAAATCTGGCTCAAATATCCACTTTGACTCTGAACTGATCAGGATTTGATGGTCAATGGTCAAGGTCACTGTGACCTCACACTTAAGAATTTATATGCTTATTATGACAAAATTTCACACAAATGTCTTATATGATAAAATGATGAAGATATGCTATTTTATTTTCAGAAGGTCAAAGGTCAGCTTCACTGTGACATCATAATGTCCTGTAAAAACACTTTTCTGTCCATGACTCAATGTCAAATCTCAGGAACAGAAGGGGAGACATTGGATCAGACAGTGAATTGATGTCAGTAATCTTGGGTGTCCACCCGGAAACTGCGCTGATTGTATAGATCTTCTGTGCTGCTGGGGGGAAGATGTGTGTGAAGCATTAATGTTTTCACTATGTTTGCCTGTTCCTGTCCTGTTGAGCAACACAAATATTTCCATTCAGGTTGCTTCTAATCCGTCATTTATCTTCATGTCTTGGTAGGAGGAGCCAGCAGACTGCCATGATAGCAGACGATCTGATTGGCTGGTTGGTGGATGAGCTGCAGGACTCAGACTGCCTGAGTGACTACACCCTGGAGTACTCTGCTGCTCTGCTCATGAACCTGTGTCTGAGAACGAAAGGTAAAGGCGAAGCACTTACAGAACAGAGACACGGTTGAACAATTGTAGAATACCCCAACCCTTTTGAGATTTAGCTGATATTTTTCTCACAGGACACATTGCTTATACATTTGATCAGATCATGTCATCATATATAATTTTTAGACAAAACCATTAAAGACCAAGCCTAATGCATTGAAGGGGGTTTGTGTATCTAGTTTGATAATGAAGCACCCACATTTAAGCCCACAACCCACAATGGTAGTTCCCTTACAGTATAGCACTTTGTATATCTAGCTGGCACTGTGATGCTATTTTAGCGCTGGTCATCGTGGACTATATTGCTTGCACTGATCATTTTAGTCAAACCATACAGTTTGAAAGAGAGGTGCGGCTTCAACTAGAAAACACTGCTTTGGTGCATTGGATGTGCTGAATGTGCATATTAAGGCAGTACAGGAGGAGGTACTGTCCTCCAGGACTGTAACATGCTCATGTTTCACCCAAACAATGTGTCATGTGACTGCAGTTGGTTCGGATCAAGGTCGTAACACGTTCTCACCACAAATGAACCGCACCAGAGTTCATTTGTAGCCAGAAGGAGACCACCTCTTCAAGAAGGTCTCGGTCTGTTTTTTTAGTGCGCACCCAAGCACAATTGCTGCGTTCACACCTGCCCAAACGAACTGCACTTAGGGGGCAAACAAACTTGAGTTCAACTGAACTGAACCAAACAGGGCAGGTGTGAAAGCACACTTAGACCCTCTGTCTAACTTTGTTCCTGTTGGATGATGTAATTATGGGCAGAGTAACAGCCGTTTTGGGGTTGCATTTAAAACAATGTTTTAGCTTTTACAGCTGCTTCTTCCTACATCATATCTCCAGTGTATCTTTGTTCATGTCACTTCACTTTAATCTACAAAAACCTTGAAAAAAAGATACTCACCTTGTTTCTCAGTATTTCTTGTATTTTCATCTCAATTGCACCGGGGGCCTGCTTTTTATAGAATGCCACAGTAAAATGACGCACTGTATTTGCTTTATCAATGTTTTTATCACCTTACACACAGAAAGGTAAAATACAAAGCAAATTTGAACTACAAGGGCACTTGTAGATGTTAGACTTCTGCTAAGGCCAAATGCCCTATCTCACAATGCTGAATGTACAATATACAACCTTCTAGACTACTATTATTCACATCCCTACTGGCTAGCTAATCACCGCCACTCTGCACTGCACACTACCCGGGCTGGGCGTACTCAGGAGAGCGGTACGGTAAAAGCACACCTTTAGCTTTGTCGGCACTGTTGCTTTTGTCAACACTTTTAGCACTGCTGATAACGCTGTCCAGACCAATAGCGACAGGTTGCCCTCATCTCGGAGCGCAATGCCCAACCTCCGCTCAGACACTGAGCCGAATACATGATCAACATGGCAGAAGTAAGAATGATCGGGCTCTATGGAATCATTAATTACTAATCTGCGCAAAAAGTCATCCTATCTTAAAACGAACATGAAAGCCACATTGTAGGAAATTAAAGAGTTTTGGCTTGTTAAATTGATTCGTGTGTATGTTGTGTGTTTGTGTGTGTGTATGTTGGATGGCTGTCTTTGCACAGGAAAAAGGAAGTGTGCAGAGAACGCCAAGCATGTGCTAAAGGTTCTAACTGACCTCCTTGGACACGAGAACCACGAGGTGATGCACAGATCCGTCAACACTCGCACCCAGATGTTACACACATTCATAGAGGCTGGAAAACATGGATGCACTATATATAACATATTAACAACTGCATGCGATATAGGGACTTACGTATGCATTCAGAAAATACCAAGTTTATGATGCCTTCAGGAATGTTTGGGTGTTTTAATAGAAATGAGCAGTGACTTTAAGTAGGTCTATAAAACATACATCACAATAGCTCCTTTCAGTTTTATAAATGGTTGTCAACAACTTTGAGGACCATTAACTGGAGCTGTTATAATCTCACCACTGCCAGGATTCATATCTTATTACCTGCTGTGAAATATTGTATGTCTATAAAAATATATTTGTATTTGGAACCACCGCTGTATAAGAATTCTTCCCTCTCTGTATCCAAGTTTCCACACTGCTGCACATATATACAAGCTGTTACTAGTTTTGGCATGAGACCATAAAGTTAGAGGGTGTGTGTGTGTGTGTGTGTGTGTGTGTGTGTGTGTGTGTGTGTGTGTGCGACTTTGCTCTTTCAGATTCGACCATATGTGAATGGAGCCCTGTACAGTATCCTGTGTATTCCCTCTGTGAGACAGGAAGCCAAAGAGATGGTGAGATAGCAGAAATGTCTTCACCTGCTCAGAGGAAACAGACGTAGTTTGTGTGTTTTTGCTCCGCATTTGTCTCTTTATGTCACCACGCGGCCAGTGTTTGGAAGGGAAACAGCAGGTGTTCACAGTCATATGACACAGTCACTGGACCTAGACAGTGGTGAGCTGGTGCGTTGTGTTTGTGCAGGAGAAAAGCAGATGCCTCAAACATTAAGGATAATAATTAACACAATTACAATATAATACGATAAGCAGTTTTGACCCTAGCTAATTATTGTGTAATATAGCTGTAAGGTTATGAGCGTACACCATGGTGACATGTTTCCCTCACGTGTGTGCAGAGTGTAGAGGAGATTCTCCGCTGCTACAGCAAAGAGGAGAACCCAGACCTCAACAGACAGATTGAGTTCATCATTAAACAGCTAAACTCAGGTTGGTGAAGTCAAATTTGCTGTTACAATGGATGTATTCTGACCCTTGCTGCTGTGTCTTTTTTTGGACTTGTTTAATCCTCATGCTCTGACTGTGTTCCACCCAGCTGATGATGAGGGGCCAGAGTCAGACGACGAGGAAGAAGAGGATGACAATGATGTAAGTCCTTCTCCGAGCCCATTAGACATTGTTATTATATACCCATCTACACATTAATTTAACACAGCTGTAGGAATATGATCACAAAATCAGATCAAAAGAACAAAAATGAGATCCTGGATTAAAAATGATTGTGAGAGGAAGCACGACCAAACCTGTAGATAGCAATCTCAGCATGACACAGATATTGGATGTCTACCACCTGGGTGTTTGTGTGTGTGTGTGTGTGTGTGTGTGTGTGTGTGTGTGTGTGTGTGG